AATGGTCTGTGCTATACAATGTCTGTAACCAGAAAGAAGAATCTAAGTAGGCGATTGTTTAAACTAATCCAGAGAGTTAAATACTTTTGAATCAAATTGAGCTAGGCTATACCTTTCTTCTGCATGCATATGAAGTGAGAGAGATTGTGTGTGCAAGGGAAAGCCGGATCGTAACCCCTGCTTAGAGCAGTTCAAGGCTCCAAGTGAATGCAGAGTAGCTGAAAGGGGCAGCCTGTGGGTGGCTCAGTAAAGGCAACAGCAGTACAAAGTCAGGAGATGCTGCAAGCATGGAAGAGAGTGGCAAAGTCACCCTCTGTGAGGGAAAAGGACAACTTCCAAGCTCCCGGGAAATGTTCTTTTTCTGTTGCTTGCTTTGTTGTAAATACACAAAAGTAATGTATTGTCGTTTACTTGTGGTTCCTTCCAGTAAGAAAACCTCACTGTGTGAAGCCATCATGTGGTTTCAGCAGTCCTCTGGCAAAAGACACGCTATGTACAGCTGAGAGTATATTAGCTAAATTATATATACAGCATCAAACTGCAATGAAGACAGAATATCAAGAATCAGTTGTAAAGATTTAGGAAAAGGCAGGGGGGGTTAGGACAACCGCAATGTGCTGGGTGTTGGTATGTTAAAGAAAAACCTTACTTGGACAGGAATAGCTAAAATAGATTATATGTTCAGCAGCTGTGAATTAAAATAAAAATACAATCTGGAGGGAATAATTCATTTTCAGGTGGTAGTTGTTGTTATGAACTTGCATCTGTAAATGAAAGATATGAAAGCAGCTTTGAAATGGTTGGTTTCTCACTGCAGCTATGGACTAATTTCTTAGCATACAGAGCATTGCTTTGCTGCTGCTTTGACTTTTACCCTTTAGTCAGTCACCTTCCAGTCTGCTTCCTCTCAGTCATTTTTAATAAAATGCCTTTTTGATTACAGAAAATTGGTTGATACACTGCTCTAATGAAAATGCTAGACAAATGCTCCTTCTTGGAACTGACATCAGGAATGTTATACAAGACATTCTTAAATATGCTGGCAGCTGCCCTGAATGTAATGAAATCATGGAAATTAGAAGTATTGCACTCTCTGTGTGGCCAGCTCAGGACTGTTTTCAGTATGTTACCAGTTTAGCTGTGAATTTTAAAAGGAATCACTTTTCCAGAATTTTTCTTGGGACATTCTTCAACATCTTTATAATTTCCACAATCAGGAAAATCATACTGATATTCTGAGGTACTTTTTTTTTTTTTTTTTTTTTTTTTTTTGGGTTTTCATCTCTTCTTTATTTTGGTGGATTTTTTTTTTTTTTTTTTTTTTTTTTTGTGGATTGCACATAATTCCTCATGTCTACATCCCTTTGTACCACACTAAATCATTCCTCTTGCAGCAGAGAGTTTACAGTCTTCAGAAGACGGATAACTTTTCTGGTAGAAATGAGTGTGTAGGGTGAAATCCTATTCCCACTGCAGCCAGCAGTAAAATTCCCACAAACTTAAGTGGTTTGGATTTCACATGCAATTTTTAGTCTTCTCTTGTATGACACTTTAGTTAATCCTTAATACGCTCTTCGTACAGAAGGTATCTAAATGCAGGAAAGGTAGAAGGGTAGCAATGATGTATACTTTGTGTTTCACTAGCACCTTTCCGTGCAAGGATCACAAAGCAGCTTATGGAAAGACAGGTGAGACCTGCTGCAGAGCACAAGGAATGGATATTATTTTCATTCTTCTAAAGTGCAGAGAAAGTAGAAGGCAAAGGACCTTATCTCTGTGGCAGTGTATATGTGTATATAAATGAAAGTACCATCCTGACTTCCATGTTACCTTCTCTTTGTCCATGTTTTTATTCACCTATTGCTTCTCTGTAGCTTTGGTATGGTTTTCATCAGCTATTCTGAATTTGAGTTTTCCAAGATGAATCTAATTTTCTTTACCTGTTTTTTAGCACTCTGGATTCTTCCACAGTTTCTTTGTTGGAGGCTTACAGAAGTTCCTCAAGTAATTACAGTTGTGTTCATCTGAAGTAATAATATTCCATTCCTGTCAACAATTAATAGCAGTATTAAGCAAGAGTCAACTGAAGGAAAACTTAGCCCAGATCCATATGCTATCACTTAACACTTGCTATTGGAACTAGCAAGTTCTGGCTCAAGGATGAGGAGCACTGAAAGGGGACTCTGGCTGCCTTGGCTACTGGGAAAGAAGGCACAGAAACCTGTTTCCAGCTTCTTCGTTCTCCTTTTCTGTTCAGCGTGAACGTTCTTGTTCAAGAGCGGTCAGAGAGATGTGAGGGTTTTCTTATGTATTCTGGTTTGGGTTTATTCATTGTGACAGACTTGCAAAAGCCTTTCTAGAATGCAGAGTGGCAGGGACTTGGGCTGAGAGGTGGCTTGCACTGAAGCTAGAGTCACCGTGATGCTCAGTGAGAAAACCAGCCATTTTGAAAGAATGACATGGAGATGGAATAGGGCATCTACGTCACTTCTGTCTTGTTGTGATGCCCAGCTTTGCCAGGCAACCTTACTCTCAGATGCTGCTGTTGGCACAATGAAGAGACAGCTTACAGAAGAAAGCCTGATAACACTTGTAGATGTACTGTATAGCACAGAAATCTGTTAGAAGCAGATTTCCATGTGTATGATGTGATGCAAACAAGATGGTTTCTGACATGAAAAGCCTTCAGTTGAGACATCAAATCATTAAGAATGCTATGGCCAGAAGCTTTCGTAATAAATTACTGTAAACTCATGAAAGATTGATCTTTTTTGATTTCAGAGAAAATAAATCAACAGTATGAAGTCAGCTCTATTACCGTTTCAAACAAGGGACGGACTCCTGAAGTATTATCCGCTTTCTGTAAATATCACCTATAAGCCTGTATATAAAAGGTTAAATGTTTGCAGACTATTACCCTTTGCCTTAAAGATCAGAGACAAATTACTATTTTTACTTTACATTCTCTTGATGAGGATAATGATAAACATCTGTCACTTTGCTGCTTAGCCAGCTAGGAATCTTATTGCAATCTGTAATTTAAACAGCGAAGGAAAAAAAAAAAAAAAAAAAAAAAAAAAAAAAAGAAAAAAAATACATGGGCAAACTGTACTTTATATAGACACTGAAGAAGAAAAGAAAGAGAATAGAAGTCAAATGCAGGGGAACTGGGAAGGGGGCATTTTCAGTCTGCAGCTACTTGGCTAAAATCTGTGGATATATGATAGATGTATGATTTTCCATTTATTTGGTATTTCCCAGGGAAAATTACAGTTAGTTTCTTTTCAGACATGGAGGCTAAGGAAAATACTCAATCTGCATGCTGTGACTTTTTGGCATGTGGAGTTTATTAACAAAATGATTAAGGTTTATAGGATAATGTGTCTATTGGTGTTACAGAATTGAAAACACTGTTTTCATCAAGAGCTCCTTCAGTGTCCTCCACAGTCCAGAGATTTTTAGGAAGCACTGCTAATTATTGTTAAAGTCCACAGATTAGCTGGTGTTCCAGTAATTCGTCTGTAATTAAAAATAATCTGAACTTTTGAAACTTCTTTTACAAACATTTAGTTTTGTTTCTAAATGGTACATGGGATCTTATTTCTTAACAAAACTATAACTTAACAAATCACAACCATCACCATTTCATTTAGACTGGACCGACCAAGCTATAGTTTACAAGGAGTAAATATGAAGTGGTCTACCTGCCAATGCTGCATGAGCAGAAGCAGACCTTGTGTTAGGAGATGAAACTAGGAATCTCTTTTTGGCCCAGCAAGAATGGATTTCATGCAGGGAGAAGCCTCTTTGGTGATATGTTTGCCTATCTAGCTCTAATGGTCCTTCGCTAATGGGTTAGCTACGGATTTCAACTGCTCCAGGAATCTGTAAGGCACTAGTGCTATGCAAATTTTAGCTAAACACTATATTGTAAATGGAGTTGTGCTGGCAGGGGTCTGGCTGGTGTATAACTGGTTCTCATTATTGGGTTATTCACTTTTTGCAAGTACTTTCTGTTTTTTCATGTTATGCTTCTAGGTACCAACAGAACAGGTTTAGATTTTATAGTTCATGCTAATACGGCTTTGGTGGTTGTTTTCAGGGAGAAGTATTATATGTCAGAGTTTGGGGAAAGAAAATTGTTCTTTGTACTTTCCAGGTTGAAATTTCATTCTTTTGGCATCTTTGAGCTTCAGAAGGCAGTTTGATTTTCACCAGAAGGCTACTATTCTTTTCTTAGGTTTTCTTATATTTATACAGGCCAGACCGAAGCAAAGTATGTACCTTTTAGCTTCCAGTTAAAGTTCCTGGTATTTTCTTTAATTAGGTCAGCTGTTTACATACAAAGAAGTTTTCTTCTGTCCAATGAAAAAGAGACCTCTAATATATAATCCAGCCTATGTTATGCTGAGCCTTGAGCACTGGAACCAATGATGCTTTTGCTGTTATCCTTCATAAATTCTTTGTTTATATAGGTGCTATTCACATCTAACAAGTTTGAGGCTGAACTGCGGAATTTGTCACAACTGAGTCAGCCTTAAATAACAAGCATGTTTTTTACCCATAGGAGGGTAAAATTCAAAACCCAGACTTATGGTGCTGCTTTCTTGCATGGGTCAAGCTGGCTGAATCTGAATGGTAAAAGACTTGATAATAAGTATTGTAGTAAGTGATCTGAGATAATTTCTTGGGGTTTCATTTACCACTACGTGTCTTTGTCTGAAAACTTTCTTTAGCATAAAATTACAAATTTGTGTGGAAATATATGATGTACTTTGTGAAAAAGGTCTTGCATCTCATATTGCATTAACCTTTAAAGGTCCAAATTTCATGATGCTAAACGCTAATGTTAAACAGGCCAGTATTTCATATTTTAACCTCCAGACATGCTTTGTATGAGTTACGTTGCTGGATTACTACTGTTTAAATCCATTTTTTTTCTTAATATATTTCCAGTTTACTGCAGTCTGAAAGACTTGACTTTTTTTTCTTCTGTGTAGACTGAAAACGATGAGAATGGCCAAACAGACAATTTTTCAATGGACCCCCAGCTGGAGAGACAGGTGGAGACAATTCGAAATCTTGTGGACTCCTACATGTCTATTATCAACAAATGTATCCGAGATTTGATACCGAAAACAATCATGCATCTTATGATCAATAATGTAAGTAGCAGCCAGGGTTCTAAATTATTTTAACATGTCTGTCAAATCTCTTATGCTCAAACACACCTTTTGAATATAGCAGCAACATGTACTAAAGAGCATGTACTAAAGAGAAGAACACGGTCCCATAAATTTCACACTTAGACAAAGTATTCCAGTCTTTCGTAGTAGTAGGAAGTTCTGCAGCCTTCTCAAAGGCTGGCACATTGCCTTGAGTGTTTACTCCAAAGTGCTAAAGATTGAATTCATTTACATCTTAATCAGAATATAAGTTGTTATTTAAAGGTAAATCAAGAACCTTTTTTTTCTGTGTTGCTTTTGATGTTAACAGGAAAAGGGAGTTGGGAGCTCCATCTAGGCAGCCTGTGAGAGCAGCAGAGCAGGGTTGTGCTTCCTTGATTTTCAATCTGTAGCCCTTTGTCATGGTTTCTTAAAGCAGTTCTCATTTTATTTGGGTTTTTTTATACTTCCAGGTTACCATTTTCAAGGAATAAATCTAGAAGCCTTGGACACTGTTGTTTAGATAAGCAGATGTGGTTGTTTGATTTATTTTGTGTGTCTTTCTTAGATCTGAAGATTATTTGGTTAAAGAAACGGCTTTGAGATATCATTGTTTTTCCACTGCACTAAGATCTCAGCCTTCGCTTCCTGGCAAAGTTCTGAATGGACCTTGTGAAAACTAAGCTTAATATTAGTGCCACTGCTGCCATATAAATTAATAACAGAGAGTACAGCTCCTGTTAGTTATGGGTAGCACCTTTTCTGTGAGGTCATCAAACCAATCAGTCTTTACAAATACAACATGCTATAAGGTAAATCTGTTTAGAAAGTAGCATTTACTTTTGACTCAGAGCCACCTCTAGCCTTCATCTCATGGATTTCATTAGCCCTGTGGAATTTGTGTTGCACTTAAGAGTTAGGTGGTTGGACTGGAAATTTCAATGGGATTTCCTGGTACATATAATACGAGTAGAATTTTTGCATGAGGGCGAGAGATAATTCCATTAACTTCCTTAGGTTTAGGGGAGTCAGGCTCCAAATAATGCTCCAGTCATGGGTGAGTTTTTACAAAAGAGCATGGGAACAATGGAACTGCCCTTTTTTTCCTGAAATCAGCGATGCTCTAGACTTTATAGGGTGAGCGTGTTCTCTCTGCTTTTCCCAGATCACAGCTAGCAACTTGCTGCTTTGACTTAGCACAACTTCATTGCCTTTTGAGAGGGCTGTTTTTAGCTCTCATTTCATAAAGTGAAGAGTTTGGTGAGCAGTTCCTTTTGAAAGTTTACATTAAATTTTCTGCCACTCACCTCCTCATATGGAATAGGTTAAGGGTCTCTGAAGTGGGTGCTTTACTGAGAAGTAGAATACTTTAAGATTTTTGTACTTTACATTGGTAAAGTCTGCCATGCTGGCTGACCATGGCACACAGAAACAACATACTTCATCTACCTTTCAATTGACCTCATAGTCCATAGCTGTGTTTGGGCTTGCTAGTGAGCTGACCTACACCTCAATCCTAGAATTTAAATTTGTGGCAAAGAATCAAAACATTTTAAAGGACTGTGAAGAGTGAGACTAGAAACATTAATGCATTTGTTTCTGTGCAGCTTAGGCAGTAAAATACCATATTAAAAACAATAGCTAAAAGATCAGTTTTAAAAAATCAGTGCTATTAAAAAAGAGAAAGAAATGCTTGAATTAAGACTGCTGAGCCATGCCAAAAGATTGTGCAAAGACCTGGAAAGCAGTGGAGCTGTGATGGAAGGTGGGTTCTGTCAAGTAGTGTGTGTGTGTTCCTTGGAGTCTTCAGAAGCCCAACCCATCCACCAGGAGTTAAGTGAAAACGTCCTCTCTCCCCCTTAATGAGCATATTCTGTACTTTCTACTGCCCCATCATGTTGCCTCCAAAACTCTGGCAACAAATTGATCCCAAGGAGTTTGTTTCCATGACAATTGTAACCTCCCAAGTCCTAGAACTTCCTTTCCACTTTGTGGGCCTGTAAATGAGCACTTACAATTCAAGGGAAGTATCAGATTCAAACTCAGTGTACAGAAAATAATTAGATGCTGTCCCTAAGCATATTTTGAGGCCTAAGCCTAGATTGTTGTATTCCAAATGCATCCCTTATTCTTCCCTTAGGGTGGATGTTGATTACCTTAAAAGAAAATGCATTTACCACACAGAACTGCATTGAGTTACCATTAGCAATTCAAACATGCACAAACAAAACACACATTTCAGAATTTGTGTTTCACGGTGCCTAGGTATTACAGATTTATACAAGAGGGGTGGTCTTAGAGTAGACAGTGTATACTCCATAAGCAGTGCTGATATTAATCTCAGCGGGGTGGCAAAACTCCAAAGTACTTGTTACTACCAAACTTAAGGTTAAGGAATGGATTGTGTTTGCATTTGAGGTAGTGACGTATGTTGTAGTCTGCCTGCTGATGAATGAAGTTGCAAGCCCATCTTACCCCACTTTCGAGTGACAGGGTAGGCTTTGTGGCATTGGTGTTTTGGATGCTTGCTATGGTTCAGCTTTGACTGCAGGTCTGATGTCTGTGAAGGAAAATGTTTTAAACCATTCCTGTGAGTCTTTCTGTTTTCTAGAAAGGAGCAAAGGCATGAGTAAGTGTCACTTCCCTTTCCTTTTCCAAGCTGGAGAAAGTGGCTATTGTGGAAGATCTTCCTCTGTCCAGTACAGTGCATCTGTTTGCAGAAGGAAGGAGGCTGATCCAAGAACCATCCTTAACGCAGCAGTCTTCCCCTTCCAGAAGAGTTCAGGGAGTTACTTGAGTCTCCTGCTAGTGGCAGACAGGGATCTCTCATGATAATTGTCACAGGCTGATTTTTTTCAAACAGATATTTGTGGTTTAACAATGCTTTTACAATCAGCTCTGGCCTTAATCTAATTTTAGGACTACTTCTTCTTCTTTTTTTTTGAAGTGATGCCATTAAAATGCTCATTTCATTGAGTAGAATGGGATGCTGTTTAACTATGATATCTGTTTTTAATGTGGAGTTTTTGGCAATCATGAGGAAAGTAGTGTACTCTGGCTCTTGATCAGTACCATCTACTGGAAAACAGCATGAGACTCATGGAAAATTTTTGCAGGCTTTGCTAAGAATTTGTGTGTCTCCTGTCATACGTGAATGGGAAATGACAGTCAAGCCCAGGCAATATGGTTTTGTTTCCCTGTAAGGTCTGTCGTGGCCTTCTTTTCATTGCTAGGTGACCATAAAGGGTCCCATGCCCATGCAATTCGACTGCTCTCACTGACCTCAACTGAACACAACCTTCGCCTTAGTCTAACTGTCAGGATTTAAATCAATGTTGCTAAACTAGCAGAAACCCATGTGCAAACGGAGCTCAGGTTTATGTAATCAGAATCTTGGGAATGTATTATCGTTAGTATCTCCAGCTCAAAAAAGCTTTATAGAGCAAAAAGCCAGATGAGAAATAGATCAGAACAGCAATGAAAGTCTCAAATGCAAGGATTTAGTAGGTCAGCAGTTGGTCTATTTACCACAGTCTTATTTAATCAGAGTACCTCTAGCTTTTTATCTCTCCTAATGTGGCCCAGGTTTCCATAACCAGGGCAGGCGTAGCAGGAAATCAATATAGTAAATTAGATTACTTGGAGACTTCTCCCTTCGGTTTCAATGTATGTGGATGGGATACTTAGAATCTGACAAAGTTGTTGGAGATAAAAGACACTGTCTACAGTAGGGTAAATTGTTGCTAAGAAAATAATTGACAGAGATGCTATAAAGCCTGAAAATCCCCATTCCCAGGGAAATTTCATATCTGATGGTATTGCTAATGGCTGCCATTTAGAATTGGACCAAAATGCCAGCTGACTCCTGGGAGCTGTTGGGAAGCCTGTTTGAAATGAACTGTAAATGTAGATGTCACCTTAGAGACAGAGACCACTGTTAACTCCAACCATGTCCAATGTTTCAAAGACAGACACAAAAAAAGGCCACACTGCACTGTGGAGCGATTGCACAAAACCATCTTATCCTCACATGTGAATCATCTCAGAATGTGGCTTCGTAATTGCGTTAAGCCCATCTGCGTGCAGGCAGCTGCTGAAAGGTCCAGTCCATCCTTTTCCAGCTGCTCTGCCCAGCTGCATGTGCCAGCCTTTCCTTGGGCCACAGCTAGACCTCAGGCTGCTGCACTGTCAGCTCAGTCTGAGTTCAGCATTTTTAGTCCCTGATCTGACCTAACAAGAACTGCATGACCAGTAGAACTGATGTAAATAAGGTGGTAGGAGAAACAGATTAAATTTAGATATGCCTGTCTCCTGGTTCTGTGGATCTCATACTGTATTTATTCAGTATTGTATTTTCAATAGGTTTTTGTTGTTGTTGTTGTTTATTTGTTTGGTGGGGTTTTTTTTGTCTAATGAAATAGGTAAAAGAATTTATCAACGCAGAGCTCCTGGCTCACTTGTATTCTTCCGAGGACCAAAACACTCTAATGGAGGAGTCGGCTGAGCAGGCGCAGAGGCGAGATGAAATGCTCCGCATGTACCAAGCACTAAAGGAAGCCCTAGCAATCATTGGCGATATTAGCACTAGCACTGTCTCAACCCCTGCACCCCCTCCTGTAGATGACTCTTGGCTTCAGCAGGCCCGCAGGTAAGGATCCTCAAATCTGTATTGCAAGTAAATGTAGGACAGGCAGACATTGTCAGCATCAGCAGCTCGCTCCCTACCTGTCTTTTTGGGCAGATACTCCTCCAAGTCTTTAATGACCTTTGTGAAGGATGACATTTATGAGGGAAATCGGAACATTTTCCCACATATACATGTTTTATGTATATGTATGTGAACATCAGACAGGATATTTGCCTTGTAGAAGACCATCCGGTGGATTTACAGCTTGTCTGATGCTTCAGATAGCAGCCACTTCTGTCACTCCAATTGTGTATCCACATGACCTCTTCTTGCAAGCTGTTATAAGACTTCAGCACGTCAGGCTCCACATCCTAGAAAATCCACTTAGCAGAACATCATTGGGACTCTTAATATTAAAATCCATTAGATTTACCTCTTTGATCATATGCTTGTTTCTGACTATCGTAAGACATTCTGTCTGCGGGAAAGGTAAGTGTGAGACTTAAATATATGTAATGCTCTGGCACTGATAGCAAAGGAAAATGCCAAGAAAAAAAAATTGTCATAGGCATAAAAAGAGTTTCATTTCTGTTTAAAAATTAAAAAATAAAAATAATAAAATAAAAAAAACCGACAAAAACCAAAAAGCCCCCCCCCCCAAACCCACCTTACTGAACTTCTTAAATCTCTGATATTTCACTAGATCACCTCCTCCAAGTCCCTCAACTCAGAGGAGGCCTACATTAAACAATCCCCCAACCAGACCTTTATCTGGCCGAGGACCCGCTCCTGCAATCCCATCTCCAGGCCCTCAGTCAGGGGCTCCTCCGGTCCCGTTCCGCCCAGGACCACTGCCTCCATTTCCAAGTGGTGGTGAAGCCCTTGGAGGACCTCCCCAGGTTCCCTCTCGGCCGACCCGGGCTCCTCCCAGCGTCCCAAGGTAAGATGTCTAATCTTCCTGGTGGTGGGCATGGTTCTCTCCCTCTAGCATAACAGACAGATTCTGCACTGTGTCAGAAAGTCAAGCACCATTGTTGAGTAAGTCTTGTAACAAAGCAAAATTGGGCATTACCTGCAGAGAGTCAAAGGTGTTGTGAGGTACCAATTTTTAGCACAAATATGACTTTTTGAAAAGACAGAAAGTTTTTTTCATGGGGAAAAAAAGAAAATCCAGTCAGTCAATTTAAAGACACCAGAGTTTCTTACATTAAAAGCCCCTGTTCTGGTTGTGTTGTACCCACATAGGGGTTCACAGAGAGAGAGGTCATCTATCCCTCCACCAGAAGAGGGGCAGGGGTACAACTCCTCACTTCTGCCATTCTGAGTCCTCGCCAGAGGAATTAATGGCTCTTCTGGGAGAGAACAAGAACAATCCTTGTAGAACCAGTGGAACAAACTGATAGGAGTCCGATTCTTATTCCACAAGGCAAGATAATTTACAGCCAGTTGAAAACAGTCCATAGTTGTCTAACAGTGTAGATCGTATGGTGCAAAACAATTAGTTAAGGAACAGGATTTTCATCACCACATCACTTCCTTTCCTTCCCAAGGCTTTGCATTTATCAGTACTTTTTAAAGTAGCTTTGCATATTTTACAATTTTGTGTGGCAGTAACTGCTTTTTTACTTAAGTTATATGAATAAAATGTCCTTAATATTTATTTTCACAATGACATAATACACATAACCACTCATATATATGAAAGCCTCTGATTCCGAGGGCTTTGGTAACTTCCTAAATTATGACAGGCATGGGCAGATTAGGCAATTTTGGAACAAAGGGGTTTCTCCATTTTTAATAAATTAACTGTTACATTAAAATTAGTCACAGTTTGCAAAAAAATGCCAGTGAAATAGAAACAAAAAGAAAATGTGCACATTTTCAATTTTAGAAATGGTAACTGAGAAGAGAACCTTGGGAGAAAAACTTTCTTTTAAATAGGTGAGATCTGTTGTAGTTGTCAGTAACTTAAATTTGAGGCTCAGCGTTTCTAATATCCTTTATAATATGAAGAATAAATAAATGAGGTAGATCAAAGGAATTAAGTATTTTTACATATTTGCTGTGAAAGGGGCGTTGTCGCATCAGTGCCCAACTGTGAAATGCACTCTTTCATCCTGTAGCTTGCAGTAGGACCGCTGGGGAGAAACCTAGAATTGCCTTTCTGGGTACGAAATGTCACACTGAAAGGGAAGAAGTCCAAGCAGGGTCCTCTCGTTGGGAGAGCCTGGGACTGAGCTGAAGGGCACTGGCCCCACTGTTTCCCCTGTGCCGTCAGAGGATAAATCACGTACTAGATACAGAAATGAGGTCCAGTGTTTTGTCAGTTGTACTACTGGAGAGAACCATAGCTTCCTGGCGTCTTTTGCCTTGCCTTGCAAATGAGCATGTCTCCTTTGTCCTGCCTGGCTGTGATTTTGCATGAACATTGCTTTCCTGAGGTGGCTTGCCAAGAGCATGTCTGATGATAATCTTTTTGATGATAAAGTGATAGGTGGGATGGAAAGCAGAAAGGAATTTTCTAGTGCACAAAAGACACTTGGGTAAGCAGCCCGTGAACAACTCAATTCGTGACTGCCACTGGTGGCATGAAAAGCAGTGGCTGATAAAGGAGGTCAGTGTTTTTAAAACGCTGTAGCTGGATATATAATTGAATGTACGACTGCCTGACATTTTTGTGGAAAAAATATCTGCAATACACATCTTCTGGACTGGATCCTAGTTCTCTTTTTTAGAGCTATGAAAGCCTCAGACATAAAAAAATCTCAGCTGCTTAAGAATGAAGGAAGGGCTTGCCGTTTTGCTGAAACTTCAGGTTTCTCCTGCTGACTAAACTCCGAGAGAGGAAATCCCAGGGAAGGGGCTGCAAGGGAAATCACCTGAGGGGGGACAGTGTGGCCGGCTCCTGTGCCTATTAAAAGTTTCTTTTGAGCCCTGGAATTTCTGCTACGCTTGGTCTGGTTTTAATAACAGCCTTTGCAGGATCATAGGAAATTGACTCAGAAAATCAGTCTGAGATATTAAAAGGGGAAAAAAAAATAGTTTTGAGGAAGAGTTCTTGTGGAAACTTGAGCTTTCTCTGTGACTTACTTTTGAACTGGGGCTGTGTGCTCTGACTGCTCTACTGCCACTTTCTGCAATGATTCCTTGAAGTGTCAGGATTTCTCATATCTAGGGAAATAGTTTAGCTTCCTGAGAAGAAAGTTGTATTTTTAAAGTTCATTTAGCTTTCCAAAGGAGCTTTTTGTTGCAGCCCCCATCACGGTCACGTGGAGCTGAAAATCCTGACATGCTAAAGAAATATAAGCTTTCTATTTTCTCCTGTTCTGCCTTAAGATAAAAAGATCCTTTTCAAGGGTAAGACTTGGACCATCCTTTTCCAATGAGTGGCTGAGCGCACGTTTGGTTTGGAGAACTGGCCACCTTATAGTGAGATACAAGCCCTGCCTTTAAAAAAAATCCCTTTTTTCCTCAACTTTATGAGCGTTTAATCAAAGGAATTGTACAGAAATTGTGAGCTCTCAGCATTTTCTCACTGATCCTCGCTTACTATACAGGGAAAGGAAAAGGGTTAGGAAAGCAGGAAATAATTTTCTTCCTTGCTTCGCTCTGATTCTAAAGCTGTTTTGGGTTATGTGCTCCGAATATTTCTGTAAGGAAACAGAAACTATTTGCATGATACATGCCTCTTTTAATTAATCCCACTTGAGGTGGGTGGATCTCTCCCAGCAAAGCCTGTGAGTAAAGGCCCCTGGCTTTAAAGGGCTTGATGCCAAAGCATATATGATTTGTGAAATATTGCCCGCTGCCAGAATTTAGATTATTCCCTCTCTCTCTTAGAAGACTGCAGCAGTATTTTGAAAGAAAATGCAGCTGTGCTCTTGCTTTGGTAAGACGGCTTTAAGCAGGCACTAGAGCCACTTCAGCTTACCATGATGTGTGTTTGCCTGCCTGTTCGGAAAGCCTGATCTTGACCAATTTTAGTTCTACTGTGGATGCTTCGATTTGTGGCTTTTAAATGTCCTGCATGGGAATCTCAGTTTTGCCACAAGGAAAACAATTGAACTGGAAATGTTTTTCTCCTTGCAGCAGAGCCCATGGTGTTAGTTGGGGTGGGAGGGTGCTCCCCTTTTCTCTCTGTGTCCTGCTCTGCAATGCTACTGTGGATTCATGAAGGCTTTCCCAATGAAGCACTGGAGATCGTTACTCACTTTGCCATTAAAACATACACAACCCTGCGTGATGTGGAACCCTGGGACCTGGTTAAACAGGAGTCTTGAAGGGCTGGACCGTCCATTCAAGCAGGCAGGAACATAAATGCTCTTGAGCACATGTGTCTCACCCTCAAGCATGCTGGTGCTCAGTCCTTGGGGGGCTGAGGATCATCTTTACAGGTGTTCATGAACAGTCCCATACTCTCCCTACCACCTCTTTCAGCTGTCTGTCTACAATTTACTTCAACCCACAGCCAGCCAGCATGGAAGAGGTGATGGCTGCTATGCACCTATGTTTTATTATGCCACTGAGGCTAATTATATGACCTGTTGTGTTTGTAACTAATCTACGTTGTAATCCATCATTATGTATTTCTGCTAACCTGGCACAAAAAAGTACTTACACTTGACAGTAATTACAGTTAGAAAATTCCAGACAAAGCCAGAAGCACTGCAGCAAGCATCACTGCCTGATGTTTCCTGGTCCGCAGGCTCTGTACTCAGCTCTTTGACTGCCAAATATCAACCATGAAGTAAGTTTTCTGTGATGGATTTTTATGGATTAGAGTTCTTTGGAAAGATTTAATGTAATGTCTAACCCTGTGCATTGAATGATAAGGGGATCCCTTGCAAAAATTGCATGTGATCCTCTGATTAAAATCTGTCATAGTGCATAGGCATATAAGGCCAGCAGAGTTATCCTGCCTTAACTTGGGAATCTCCTCTCTTCTGAAAGTTTAATCTTGCAGCCTTAAAAGCTTACTGCTATATTTTTTAATTGAATATAAATAATCAAATAGCCATTGCATCAAACTCTTCTGGCAGGATGAATAAATGCCCACCTTAAAGCATTTGCATGCTGAGTTGAATGATCTCTATCTGAACACTCAAGTAGAAGAGCATAGCTCTGTCCACCAGTAAGCATCCATTTGTCCTCTTTGAATGGATCTTCAGTGAAGGTTATATTCAAAGAGCATAATCAGCAATTAGGAGTGTTTCATGCAAGCAAAGAGACAAAAGTGTTATCTGGAGAGATTTCAAAATCCTGCTAGCCAAAGAATAACTAATTTAATTCTGCATTTCATGTCTGTGATCAAAAGAATATACAGCTACATGGGTGATGCAAAGCCAGAGCCCATCACAGGAGGGGATACTGCTCTTCCATAGTCAGTATGTTTCCAATTCTGCCTGTCCAAGGACCCCAAAATCACAAGACTTATGAGAATATCAGTTATTCTTTCTGTGATTTCTGCTCTGGGGGAAGACACCCCTGTGTAACTTGTTACCAGTCGCATTCACATTTCTTGTTGTAATGCACACCCAGTAATAGGCTCCTTTTGCTGCTGGCTGCTTTGAGCAGGAGACTCCATTTATTTTCCCTTATCTCTTAGAAAGGAGCTCTGCTTTTTCCCCTCCTCCACTGGCTGCCTCTTCACTATTTTGTTTTCTCTTTTTTCTGCCCTTCCCTCGTTGTCCTTTCTTGACCATCCTCTTTGCTTCCTCTTTCACCTTCTCCCTTCACTTGGTTTCCTGCCCAGTACATTTGTCTCCCTTCCCCACGTATTCCCCCCCTTTCCTTCTCACCATCTTGTCTTGGTTTCTTTCCAACTTATCCCTTCCCTGGCACCTTTCGAAATCTGTCTCCTGCTCCTTGCATTTCTGTCGTCTTTTAAAGTTTTTCATCCAGTCTTCAAACCATAAAATGCAATATTTGGCAATCTTTCTT